ACCAACACCACCACCACCACCAGCACCACCATCACCAACACCACCAGCACCACCATCACCACCACCACCAGCACCACCATCACCACCATCACCATCACCACCACCAGCACCACCACCACCACCACCACCATCACCACCACCATCACCACCATCACCACCACCAGCACCACCAGCAGCACCACCACCACCACCAGCACCACCAGCACCAGCAGCACCACCAGCACCACCATCGCCACCACCAGCAGCCTCCTCGTGGCTGATGTCGGCCTCAGGGTGGATGATGCTGAGGTCGTCCTCCTCCGCCGAGGTTTCAAAGTCGTCCGGGAGGTCACCACGAGTTACTACAGTGTGGGGGGGAGGGGGGGTGAGTGGTGGGGGGGGGTGAGTGGTGGGGGGGGGTGAGTGGTGGGGGGGGGTGAGTGGTGGGGGGGGTGGGGGAGTGAGAGAGGGGTGAGTGTTAGGGGTGAGAGTTGGGGGTGAGTGTTAGGGGTGAGAGTTGGGGGTGAGTGTTAGGGGTGAGTGTTAGGGGTGAGTGTTCGGGGTGAGTGTTAGGGGTGAGTGGTGGGGGTGAGCGTTAGGGGTGAGTGTTAGGGGTGAGTGTTATGGGTGAGCGTGAGGGGTGAGTGTTAGGGGTGAGTGTTAGGGGTGAGTGTGAGGGGTGAGTGTTAGGGGTGAGCGTTAGGGGTGAGTGTTGGGGTGAGGGTGAGGGGTGAGTGCTAGGGGTGAGTGGTAGGGGTGAGTGTTAGGGGTGAGTGTTGGGGGTGAGTGTTAGGGGTGAGTGTTAGTGGTGAGAGTTGGGGGTGAGTGTTAGGGGTGAGTGTTAGGGGTGAGCGTTAGGGGTGAGGGTGAGGGGTGAGGGTGAGGGGTGAGTGCTAGGGGTGAGTGGTAGGGGTGAGTATTGAAGGTGAGTGTTAGGGGTGAGTGTGAGGGGTGAGTGTTAGGGGTGAGTGTTAGGGGTGAGTGTTAGGGGTGAGTGTTAGGGGTGAGTGTTGTGGGTGAGTGTTAGGGGTGAGTGGTAGGGGTGAGTGTTAGGGGTGAGTGTGAGGGGTGAGTGTTAGGGCTGAGTGTTAGGGGTGAGTGGTAGGGGTGAGTGGTAGGGGTGAGTGTTAGGGGTGAGTGTGAGGGGTGAGTGTTAGGGCTGAGTGTTAGGGGTGAGTGGTAGGGGTGAGTGTTAGGGGTGAGTGGTAGGGGTTAGTGTTAGGGGTGAGTGTTAGGGGTGAGTGGTAGGGGTGAGTGTTAGGGGTGAGTGTTAGGGGTGAGTGTTAGGGGTGAGTGTTAGGGGTGAGTGTGAGGGGTGAGTGTTAGGGGTGAGTGTTAGGGGTGAGTGTTGGGGGTGAGTGTTAGGGGTGAGTGTTGGGGGTGAGTGTTAGGGGTGAGTGTTGTGGGTGAGTGTTAGGGGTGAGCGTGAGGGGTGAGGGTTAGGTGTGAGTGGTAGGGGTGAGTGGTAGGGGTGAGTGTTAGGGGTGAGTGTGAGGGGTGAGTGTTAGGGGTGAGTGTTAGGGGTGAGTGTTAGGGGTGAGTGTTAGGGGTGAGTGTTAGGGGTGAGTGGTGGGGGTGAGTGTTAGGGGTGAGTGTTAGGGGTGAGTGTTAGGGGTGAGTGTTGGGGGTGAGTGTGAGGGGTGAGTGTTAGGGGTGAGTGTTAGGGGTGAGGGTTAGGGGTGAGTGGTGGGGGTGAGTGTTAGGGGTGAGTGTTAGGGTGAGTGTTAGGGGGTGAGTGTTAGGGGTGAGTGTGAGGGGTGAGTGTTAGGGGTGAGTGGTAGGGGTGAGTGTTAGGGGTGAGTGTGAGGGGTGAGTGTGAGGGGTGAGTTTGAGGGGTGAGTGTTAGGGGTGAGTGTTAGGGGTGAGTGTTAGGGGTGAGTGTTAGGGGTGAGTGTTAGGGGTGAGTGTGAGGGGTGAGTGTTAGGGGTGAGTGTTAGGGGTGAGTGTTAGGGGTGAGTGTTAGGGGTGAGTGTTAGGGGTGAGTGTTAGGGGTGAGTGTGAGGGGTGAGTGTTAGGGGTGAGTGTTGGGGGTGAGTGTTAGGGGTGAGTGTTGGGGGTGAGTGTTAGGGGTGATTGTTAGGGGTGAGTGTTAGGGGTGAGTGGTGGGGGTGAGTGTTAGGGGTGAGTGTTAGGGGTGAGTGTTAGGGGTGAGTGTTAGGGGTGAGTGTTGGGGGTGAGTGTTAGGGGTGAGTGTAAGGGGTAAGTGTTAGGGGTGAGTGTTAGGAGTGAGTGTTAGGGGTGAGTGGTAGGGGTGAGTGTTAGGGGTGAGTGTTAGGGGTGAGTGTTAGGGGTGAGTGTTAGGGGTGAGTGGTGGGGGTGAGTGTTAGGGGTGAGTGTTAGGGGTGAGTGTTAGGGGTGAGCGTGAGGGGTGAGGGTTAGGTGTGAGTGTTAGGGGTGAGTGTGAGGGGTGAGTGTTAGGGGTGAGTGTTAGGGGTGAGTGTTAGGGGTGAGTGTTAGGGGTGAGTGGTAGGGGTGAGTGTTAGGGGTGAGTGTGAGGGGTGAGTGTTAGGGGTGAGTGTGAGGGGTGAGTGTTAGGGGTGAGTGTTAGGGTGAGTGTTAGGGGTGAGTGGTGGGGGTGAGTGTTAGGGGTGAGTGTTAGGGGTGAGTGTTAGGGGTGAGTGTTAGGGGTGAGTGTTAGGGGTGAGTGGTGGGGGTGAGTGTTAGGGGTGAGTGTTAGGGGTGAGTGTTAGGGGTGAGTGTTAGGGGTGAGTGTTAGGGGTGAGTGGTGGGGGTGAGTGTTAGGGGTGAGTGTTAGGGGTGAGTGTTAGGGGTGAGTGTTAGGGGTGAGTGTGAGGGGTGAGTGTTAGGGGTGAGTGGTAGGGGTGAGTGTTAGGGGTGAGTGTGAGGGGTGAGTGTGAGGGGTGAGTTTGAGGGGTGAGTGTTAGGGGTGAGTGTTAGGGGTGAGTGTGAGGGGTGAGTGTGAGGGGTGAGTGTTAGGGGTGAGTGTTAGGGGTGAGTGTTAGGGGTGAGTGTGAGGGGTGAGTGTTAGGGGTGAGTGTTAGGGGTGAGTGTTAGGGGTGAGTGTTAGGGGTGAGTGTGAGGGGTGAGTGTTAGGGGTGAGTGTTAGGGGTGAGTGTTAGGGGTGAGTGTTAGGGGTGAGTGTTAGGGGTGAGTGTTAGGGGTGAGTGTTAGGGGTGAGTGTTGGGGGTGAGTGTGAGGGGTGAGTGTGAGGGGTGAGTGTTAGGTGTGAGTGGTAGGGGTGAGTGTTAGGGGTGAGGGTTAGGGGTGAGGGTTAGGGGTGAGTGTTCTAGGTGAGAGTTATGAGTGAGGGTTATGTACGTTTGCTCTAGTTTGTGTGTGTCACTGTGTGTCTGTGTGTGTCTGTGTGTACGTGTCTGTGTCTGGAAAAACAACCCCCTACCTCCTCGCGGTGCCGGACGGGCAACTCTGTTGTGGACAGTGCTGTGGGGGGAGGTCCAATTTTGATTGGCTCCTCCCTTCATGGCGTCTGTGTCCACCACAGTGGCTAAACGGGGGCTCTGGACGGGTGCGAGGGGCTGGTAACCCCTCCACCTTCAATAAATTACCACTAAACCACGAATTAAATATATAACTAATAAGCTTGTGCCAGAGGCCCCGGGGAGACAGGCCGGGAGACGTCATAGACAATTCTATGACGTCTCCTGGCCAAACCCCAATTGGCGGAGCCAGGAGATTGAATCTCTACCCTCCGGACTCCTCCAGAAACAGCGAAAAGCCACTTCGTGTGGCCACGTGGAATGTTCGAACGCTCACTGCGGAGGAGAGGCTGCCACTGCTCTGTCGGGAGCTGGACCGGTACCGCCTGGATCTCTGTGGAATTCAGGAGGTCCGGTGGACCGGTTCTGGCTCCTGCCACCATGAGGGGTGGACAGTCCTCTACTCGGGGCAGCAGACTGTCAAACAACAGGGTGTGGCTCTTCTTTCGAACAAAAGAATGAAGGGGGCGTGGGAGCGTGGCGGTGAGGTGTGGGAAGCTGTAAGCCCCAGGCTACTTTGAGCTCGCCTTCCCATCAACCGGAGGCGAGGAGTGGTGGTCGTGGTTACTTATGCCCCCACCGAAGACGAACATCCGTGGACCAAGAAAGGCAGCGGGCAGAGATGATCTCCCAAGCGAAATGCGGAGGGAGGGTGGCGTTTGTGCACAGACTGCCCTATTTGACATCATAACAACAGTCTGGACAACTGGATGGGTTTCGCAGGATTGGAAGGATGCCCTGTTGGTCCCCCTCTTTACAAAAGGGGACCGCACAGACTGTAACAACTACAGGGCTATCTGATTCCTCAGTAAGTCGGGAAAGGTCCTGGCAAGGACTATTCAACATCGCCTTGCTAGGGATGCTGAGGAGAGGCTTGCGGAGCCCCAATGCGGTTTCAGGAAAGGGCGATCCTGCACAGATGCCACATTTTCTGTCCGTCTGCTACAGCAGAGGTGTAGGGAATTCCAACAAGACCTACATCTCTGCTTTATTGACCTGGTCAAGGCCTATGATACCATCAATAGGCCTGGGCTCTGGGTTGTTCTTCATGCTTTTGGAGTCCCTGACCCTCTGCTCACGATCATTAAGGACCTTCATGATGGTGAGCGGGCCCGGGTAAAACTACGTGGCTGGCAGTCGGAGCCATTCCCTGTTCATCTTGGGGTGCGACAGGGATGTCCTCTGGCTCCAAATTTATTTAAAAGCTATTTCGAACAGGGAGTTCGTGAAGCCTTCAGTAGCTGTACTGGTAGAATTTCCATCTGGTACAGATACAATGGGAGACTGATCGATGCCCGGGTGCGGTCAAGGGATGGCTCCCTATTGCTCAACCACGTTATGTATGCCGATGATCTGGTAATTGCTGCTCACTCAGAGGAGGAGTTGGAGACGCTGCTGCCTTACCATCAGCCCCACCAAAACTAAGCACCTGCCTGGGTATTTTGTACCATCGGACACTCCATCCCCACAACTCCCAATTGGTGATAGGGCAGTTGTGGAGAGAGTGGAGAGTTTCCCATACCTGGGCAGTGTGCTCATGATTGGCTCCAGTTTAACAGCAGA